TTTTTGGGTACTGTGATCTCTCCATAGTAAAAATTGAAGTCAATCTAACAACTGTGACCATGGGGGAAACGCTTTAAGATACATTAGGCAATGGACAAATAGTCATTTCTTTTCATTTCGTTTTTGTTGATTTTCCCCTTTACACAACGTTTAAACATTACAAATGAAAACATTCTAACGTCACTTGGAAATCTTAAATGTAATTGGCAAGACATTGTTTTACATTGCTAAATACTGTTATCGTACCAGGTGCTTTTAAATGCGTCATTAAATTACTTTGGTCTGAAAAAAACTTTGCATTATAATTTGCAGCAAAATATACTGTGTAATAATATACACAAACTGTTTGGAACCCTCAACAAAGATTGCCGTGTCTGTCTATTTCTCATCATAGAAAATAAGCCAAAATATTAAAATGTAAAAATCTGTATTTGATTTCAAACCCAACTGAAGTAAAGTATTCTCAAATTTATAAAACAACTTGAGGAGAGTGGACATAAAAACTTTACAACTACCAATCTATCATTGATGGCGATACCCTAATATAACTGTACAAACACGTCTATTGTAATATTTCACTACGTAGTTACACTGAGTGTTTCACCTTTTTCCTCCAAAGTTCAAATAGTGACTAAGACTAAGACTTTCATTGTATGCTTATGTCACCTTGACCTACCAAGGTTAATCATACAACCTTCGCTATGACGTCATTGCCACAATCAACTTGTAGTTATATCCCGTTTCTCGACATTTCTCAGAGATTGACTGATCGAATGAGTAAACTTTTGCTTAGATTCCACAATCTACACGTAGAGTTTAAAACTATTTAACCGATTACTGTATTTTAAATTATATACACTCTGTAGGCCTATAACTTAAAAACATTTTTATGTAAAACTTCAATGATGCAATAAACCAATTGTGGGCAAATCTTTTTTACTTAACATTTATTGGTCTTTAATATGTGTTTGTATTTCAGAGATTAATGCAGTTGATCTTTCTGTTTTACAAATTTAACTGTGAAACAAAATCAATCTAAATAAAGATATTATGACTAATTTTAAAGATGCTTTGTCTTATTTTGTTGAGTGTTTTTATTCTATTTTTACTGACTTATTTGTTTTTTACCGAATGTTCGTTATTTGCTTTTTACTGACTTCGTTATTTGTTTTTTTTACCGACTTATCGTTTTTACCTTTTTATTGACTTATCGTTATTTGCTTTTTACTGATTACTGAATTAGGTATCGTTTTTCGTCATTTACCGATTTATTAGTTTTTATCTTTCTACTGACTTATCGGTATTTGTTTTTAACTGGCTTATCGTTATTTTTCACCGACTCATTGTTATTTGCTTTTTACCGAGATACGAGTAAGGCGAAGTAGGATTTTGTTATCAAGCCGAGGAGTCGCTAGTTTGCCTTGCTTGTGCAATGTGATAAACAGTCACATGGGTGCGACCTGTTATCAGTTATCAGTGTAGCTTGCTGGTGATAACAGGTCTGAGGGCTCCGGCCTGGCGGTGTCACACTGTACAATTCTGTAAAATGTTTACTTTTTGAAAGTTGATTCATCACGATGTTAAGTTCGTAAAGTGCCTACAAGTCAGTGTCCGGCGTGAGTGTACTAATGCTGTTAGAAAAGAATATCAGGCTGGCCAAAAACGACCGCAAACCTGTAAAAAATAAGAACAGTAACCTTTTAAGCTGCTGCCACTGTCGGTAAGTTTTGAAATTTTATAGCTTTTGTAAATTGATGGGGATTACAGCTTTGTTTGAAATGTGGGATTTGTGGAAATTGAATGATCGACGGAAATAAATATGAAGATGTTGAAAGTTAAAATTGTATAGTGTATTAAGGGTGTTAGAGGGCCACAAGTAAAATTATCAGGTGCACTTCCAATATATTATTACCTGTTGATAAATGCCTAAGCATTTTTCTATGGAAATATATTCTACTTAAACCCAATAACTACCCTCCAATCAACTAACAGTTAAAAATGAATTAGTTGATAAATATATTAATTAAATCTAGCTTAGGGCTAGTTCAACAATTATTGCAAATTATCTATGTACTAAGCAAATCTATTTTGAACTCAACTTTTTTTTTATCAAGAAATGGATTTTTAATTCAAATTGAAAAACTGAATATTTAACTAACAAAGTTTACTGTGGACTTAAGCTAAATACTTAAGCTCCTCTGTAGGTCCGCTAGTTAGTGCAAGATGTTAAAGTAAATGCTCTTCTGTAAATGTTTCCTTTTTCATGGGTTGTAATTTGCTTTTTAAAACGTAAAATCTTATTTGTAAACACTTATGATTTTACAAACTTGAAAATGTAGACATCGGTTAACAAACAGTGATATTTTTATAAAACAAAACAAATGTTTTATTATAATACACATGATTTCTTAATATACCACTGAAAATGCATCTTTTTGTACCTATAAATAATGTGGTACTGTTGTGATTAAAAATAAAATTACAGATGCTAATAGGCCTATTTTCGGATGTGGTTATTATTCTTGTACATTAAAAATATGCTCTATTTACAAAACTTTTTTAAGTAATCAAATGTTGTTCAGTGCTTACTATTTAAGACGGTATCGTTTTAAAAAACAGTCCTATATTTGTAAAATTGTTGTTTACTGGTGACAGTTAATCAATAAAATTGTCAGCCACTCCCACAACCAACTGCAAAATAAATAATTAGGTACCTGTTTACAAAGTTCATCGTAATTTATTGTAGGTCATTGTGGTGTTACTTATTAATCAAGTTGTTTTAAAATCAATCAATCTTTATTGATTTTTCTTCAAGAATTACAATAGTGTTGCATACAGATTGTAATTTGTATTTCCATCCTAACAATTTTGATGGAATAATTCCTAAAGTGATTAGTATGGTTGATCCATGAGCCAGTCCTTAAAGTTTCCTCTTTAGGTCTTTAGTTCTTAGTTACAAGTGGTTAGGCAGACCATTGGAAATGTTCTTATGTAGGAAGGCTTCCTGCTGTATTGTTGTAGGCCTACACTGTACCTGGGAGTAGGTAGTCTGTATTTCCTCTAGTGTAGCAGGAGTGGATGTCTTCTCCTCCTTGTGAGCTCATTCTGGTCTGTATAGTTTATCCCTAAATAGATGTATATCACAGTCATTATTTTCGCTGATTTTAGCTTACCTGCAGCTTCTAATTAGATCATTTTAGGCCCACATAAGTGCAGTTAAACACCCTAATACAATACATAATCTGATATAAAATATAATAGGCATGAGAACAACTTAATTTAATGTTAATTTTTCTCGTAAAACCTGTCAGTCAACATTATTTACGAGTACCATCTAAATATTCTTAATGTTAAACTTTGTTCACATTTGATGGTTACGGTCGACAATCGTAGGTAAAACACAATAAGTTAAATAAGAAATTTAATTCTAAATTATTAAAACTGGCAGAATGTATTAGACTAAGAGACTCAGCTGGCATTGGTTATCGGTTTATAAATTATTCTCCTTAAATTACCAGCTAAATATAGCTGCATGTTTAAGATGCATGTAAAGATTGGATTGTGGTTTTATTTTAGTTCTAGTCCTTCAACTTAATACCAGTTGTAGTGTAGTAGTCCATTTAACTATAATTTTGTTTGTGCTATTTTTAATTGGTACCTATGTTCTATCATAGACAAAAAGATACTATGTCTTTGGATATTTTAATGATTGGTTTTAGCTATGCCAGTATAAACTTTAACCTGTCCTTAATTCATTAGTAAATAATTGTATTGAAGATAATTTCAGTCCCAATATTGATAAAAGAATAGAAAAGACAATAGTCACTGATGGAAATTGAGTGGGTTTAGTCTATGGACCTGATTCATCAGCATTTTCCATTCTAGGACCTTGGTTCGACCTTGCTCTTATTGCCTCAGTCCTGCCCACCTAAACTTGAACTCTAAATCCTCCTGCCCTTCCCTTATCTGCAATAATCACTGAAGTTGTCCTTGAAATGATGAATAGGGTTTGCTTTCTATTGTGAGCTAAATCTGTACCTTTTGTTGGCTTGTGAAGGTGCAGGGTTATTCAAAGAGATTTGATTTCGTATCTATTTTTTACCGATTTACTAGAACAACGTGTTAGAAGTGTCTACATTTTATTAGAAATCTCCTAAATGTAATAGTGACTCCTAACTTTTCCTCCTTGTATCTCAGTGTAGTGAAAACTTTTCGAACCAGACTGTTCATCAGAATATGACTATACCTACTCTGTTTGATGAAACTTGTCTCGTGACCCTCTCCATCTATCTGGGGGACTGGCCAATGGTGTAAGGCCAACACATTCTGTCATACAGACTCTGTATAATATAGGGGTGATAAATATAAACCAGCCTAAACTGGGTAACTTAAATGATTATGATTGGTGTTAAATCCTGTTAAATAAGCTTAACAATATTAACTTTACAAAACAACATCAGTAAAACTTTAAACAAAACCAAGTTTAGAGTCTCCCTGTTTGGTTATATTTTGTTTTTCTTTGTGGGTGAATGCTTGCATATTGTTCTTGATAGGCAACCATTTTCTTAAGAAGTTGGTGGCTGCTTCTTCGTATTTGCCTATCCACATGGGCCTCAATGACCTATAGGTGAAAAGCATCTAGCAAAGAAAAATAGGTAAAAAAGTAAAGTAATGGACGGTCTGTTAAATTTATAATGATGGCATGTGACACAGACTCTCGACATCGCTTGATTCGTTTTTGATAGTGGTGTAACCAATTGAGCAAATAACTACGTATATTAACCTTACCAAAACACAATCTTTTACATATGTAATATTTGTGTAAGAGTTTTATTAACACTATCGAACCACTCCTATCAAACATATATCACTGTATTTGCACTTGCTTTAATCCTAAATATTAAATCGGTTTAAGTTTCTCAGCGTGATCAAAAAAAGCTCAATAAAAAGATAAACTCACCATAGTACAATGAACAGCTGATGAGTATTGTCGTCTGCAGATCGCCAGGTCCAGTGAGAGTGTATGTAACTCTGTGCAGTAAAGTGATCATTGTGTGTGTGATGTGACCAAGTGATGTGGCAAGACAGTTTAGCGTATGTGCCGGAGAAGATAGGAGATGTGCTCAACTATTTGTTGCGACAGTGTCATGCCGCCTACTGCTACATATGCCCGGCTCTCAGGTACAGCCAGCTGTTACAAATAAGTAAATTGTAGTTACGATTTTAATTTAGGAATGTGATTAAGAGTTGCGTCTGTGTTTGTATGAGTGTTAATTAGGATGTCACAGAAGGAAATTTGTGAGAAACAGAATACTTGTCCTACTACTTTCCCCCTACTGAACACAAATTTGAATAATTATCAAGGACAATTCCTACACTGTTAAAATTTTCCATAGACAAAGGTGATGCCAATGAGAAAAAGACAATTTATACAAAAGATATAATCAGAAATTAATTGTTTTACTTACATTTCGTGAAGTACGGACATGACCCAACCTGTACCCTTTCCCATCAGTAAACCACAATAAGCTGTGGTTAACCTATCTGGGCCTAGAGTCCGCTCCTTTCCAAACTTAACTTGATCAAACCTAACCCAACATATCATAAACTAAAGCGTCTAAAACCTAATCAAACCTTATCAACATCACCTTCATTTGCGTAGGAAAACTTATATTATGCCTGCCTTCTTGAAAAGACCTGAAAGACCTCATGAAAATTGTTGAGATAATTCACCAGTATGATATGAGTTTTTAGTTACATAGGAATGGGAATATCTCTGTTTTGATAATAATTTAAATAAAATGTATGTCTATTATAATACTAAGCTAAATTTCATAATTCTCATAATGACTCAAAATAAAGGGTCTCATAAAAAAAAAAACTACTCCAATTTGATCTAGGACTATCAAGGTTGAAAGTATCCACATTAACGATGTGATGTGATGGGTTCCTAAAATTTGTGTTACCATTGTTATTTTATCCATCAAACGCAATAGATTCCAGCTCAATTTAAAATGATCAATTAAAATAGGAACAATCCCTCGACAACTGAGGATTATACAGTATGAACGATTTAATTTAGCTTGGGTCATTTATCATTTATTTCAAAATTATAGAATGAGTGGAGAAATATTATTATTGTGTCATTTATATTTTTAACTAAATTTATGTTTTCATTAAATTTGTTTGTTTATTTCTAGAATAATGCAGATGTTTGGATTAAGTCTTTGTGGGAAATTCTTAAAAATGCAGTGTCCAAAAAGTTACCTTTTTGTCAAAATTAGAAATGTAATTTTTTCCATAACTCTATACTGTACTAGTTAGATTAATTCTAGATTTTTCGCTCACAAAAAAAAAACAAAAAAAAACAGTAACATTAGAAGTTTGCATTTTTATTATGCGACAAGCCTTAGGTTATTATTATTAGGGTACAATTGACTACATATCTACAATAGTGATGATTTTAGTTCAAAATTTGTTATAATTTTGTTGACTGTTTTATTGTCATTTAATCATTTAGTTGGCCCAAAATGTCTAAGCAAGCGTAACCATCGATCTCTATTAATACAACATTGTATTAATTGTTGTATTAATAGAGATCGATGAGCGTAACACAGTTTTGCATGGGAAGGAAACAGATTGGATGGGCCCAGTAAATATTTTACTAGTTGACATTGATGTATTACTAGTACATAACATGAGCCCTGCATAATCCATACTGCACTGTCTTTCCAGAGAATTTAGTTTACAGTGCTAATTCACATAAAATTATGAAGTTGCATAAATAACTTTGATGTAATTTGTACTAGTCTCAGACTACTTTATATATTTCTTATACTGTAGATTGCAATTTTTGTGTACATTTTAGCAAATTTCCCTATAGGGAAGTAGCTATTACCGTATGTGGCATGGTAAGACTTAGGCCCGGGACCAATTTACTTTTTCATTATGATGTCCCCAGAGGCCAAAAACACCATTCGTTCAAATTTTTATATATGTATCTATATATATATAAAGGGTGATTGGTACTCAGTGTGACAAAACATTTTTGGTGTAAGTACAAAGTAAATGAAGTTTGATGATGCATATAAGAGGTTACAAGTCTAAAAGTAAGCTTCCCAAAGAATTATTTTAAGTTTACAAAAAAACCTTGTTTTTAAACGTAATACAGCAGTTTCTCAATTACCTGTAAATGGATTTTCGAGTAGATAATGTCATTTTCGTGTTCTACATTACATTTTGAATAAGAATAATAGAGAAAATGATGGGGGTTCAGTAGTAAAAACTCCATTGTAAATAGATTCAAAGATAAAAATTAAGATGTTTGATAAAAATTAAAAAAAAAAAAAACATTGGTCTATTGTATTTTTCTACACCCTGTATACAAGAAGGTGGCCGGATGCCATTTTATAAGCTAATATGCTAACAATTGTTTATTTCAGATTAACTTAACCAATCAATAGTTTTATTAATACTTATGAGCTAGTTTACCTAAATAGATTTTATTGATAATTAATTCAGACAAATGGAAATTTGCTTAGTCGGTAGGTTTGCTGCGGCGGGGCTATTTAGTCTACATGCTGCTGTGTAATGTGCAATTCATTTAATTTGTTGTAAATTTTTAACCATTGCCGGGGCCCATTTTTATAATAAACTACAAGCTACAAGTTACAACTTGTAACCTGTAATTTCCATTAGATTTGCATTGGGCGATCAGCTGATTTACTAATAATATTAGTTTGTACTTTATTATGAAATGGGCCCCTGGATGGCAAAGAATAGATTTTAGGTAGGTATATTTATCAAATAATGTCAATTAATCACTAAAAATGTAAAACAAAAATATTTTAAGCAAAAGAAAAAAAAGAAAACAGTAACACGTCATTGCATGAAATTTAAAAGATAAATAAATATGTCTTGTTTTATTTAAATACTTTAGTAAAAATACAATGAGACAAATCAAAACTCGCTTAGTCTGCAGGTTTGCTGCGGCTGTGGCGAGAGATATTTGAATAAAAATTTGGCGACAGCTTGTCTATATAGATGGGTTGTCTTTTGAGTTTCCCAAAGTCAATGCTAATAGTAATGGAGATGTTGGATTTTGTTTAACTTTGATATTCCCATATGAGCAAACATGTAGGAAAATTCAGAACCAACAATGCTAGCGGCTGATTACTGAGAGGCCATGTCTGAATGAGAGGTTATCAGAGATTACATTATATTGCCCTGACACCAGCATTATTTTGTTGTATCTGAGATAGTTGTGTTTTAACTGCCAATTATTGTGCAGTCACTGGTTGTGTGGTCAGGCCCAAGCCATGTTGATGGTGAAGAACTTTTCTTGGCAGAATCTAAGATTGTAAGTGTTTCTAACTCCTTTGAAATGGAATACATTTTTTTCCCATGAAATGTCATTTTTCTTCTTTTTACAACAAAATAAACTCAAATCACACTTTAGAAAAAGTATATGGGCTGAGTGAGTGTATGGATTGATTTTTTTTTATGTTTAAATTTCCTTTACGGCCATTTTACAAAGACGTCTTTACTTTGTAACATTTTTTTGCATTCTGTGAAATTGAAGTAGATGAAACCTAGCACTCAAGTATTTGTTTGAGATTTTAAGGTAAACCTCGGAATCTAGAAAACCCTAAATAAAGCAGAAACTGTTTGGTTAAAAATGATTGGATCTAATTCTGTTGGTGCACACTTGTTTGTTCGAGGAGGTTGAATGTTGTGTACTGCCAACCATCCTACCAAAACCATTCCAAAATTTTTCTATCAAACTAGAAAATGTCTGAAATAATTTTTCTACCAGAAATAGCCATATTTCATGCACATCATACCATCCTACCAAAACCATTCCAAATTTGTCTCATCAAACTAGAAAAATGTTTGAAATAATTTTCTCCTATAAATAACCATATTCATGCACCACTAAAAATCATAGAACAAATCCACCTATGCATTCATTCATTTATAAAAGAACCACCAACAGTTTTTTTTGTATTTCACCGGTAAGTGCAAAATCTACTTATTACAACGTACACATTACAACTGAAGAAAAGTAACTAATTTCCTTGGTGAAATGAAATGCTAAAGCATTAAGCACTTAGCCTAACTAGTCACACAGCAAGTACTACCTTGAGGTCGTCATGGCAACAGTAGCCCTGGACTTGTGACAGTGTTGCCAGCTAACAGCTGATTCACTAAGGTGAAGGCTAAAACACAAACACACACTCTCTCTCTCTCTCTAACATGCACAAGTGTTGACATTTAAACCACATCAGTAACATCAGTTAGCACTTAGGTACTTGTGATAGTGTTATAGCCACCATTTACAATTGATGTTGCGTAGGCCTAACTAAGTTTTGTGCCTGTCATGTAAATCAAGCAATGAATTGTGTAATTAGGTAATGGCAATGAATACACAAACTATATTGCGGGATGTGTTGCCATTATAAAATTAGATTTATAGAAATTCTCTAAACAGTACAACAAATAACGTAAAATTTTAAATTTAATTTTTGTAACTAATAAAAAATAATTAAGCAATGACGATTAAAATGCCTGAAGAAAAATCTAGAATTATGGGTGTCGCCAATGGCTAACTAATGTTATTTACAAATAAAGAGGCACAACTTGTACATCCCTGCATTAACTGTTGCAAAGTGGTCGATAATATATTTGTGTAGTCTTAGAACCGAGCAACTTGTAAAGAAACATTGATTTGCTATCACTAAATCAAGAGCCAAGGCAATCATATGGTTTTCCATTACCTAACAATTTTGTACCTCTTCTGTTAACACACTACCTACTGTGTTTTATCTGGTTGAAATTTGTATGTAGTTATATACACATTTTGTGTAGGCTAAGTTTAATTTAGGTTAGGTTAGGTCAGAACCGAGGCATAACCTAAACCTAAAATTGTGTATTGCTACGAAAAACAGTGCTAATGAATTAACTGAAAAATATCCAAAATGATTACTAACCTATTTGCTAACTGTGGTGTAAGTTAAACATCTGTGCTAAATTTATGAATAATTCCATGTAAATTTTTCTCCTAAACCTTTTATGAATATAATTTCAAATTTAATTCATTTATGCAACATTTAATTTTAAAATTTTCTGGATCGGAATCCAAAAAGTATTACCACAACGAGTAGGTGACACTATAAGTTACA